TATTTTATTATCAAATTTGGAATGCTAATAAAATTGTGTTAATTAAAAGACTTTTTTTATTTAAAATAAAAAAAGTTGGGATAATAAAGAGAAAATATATGTAAAATTATTCAAAAATTTTTTCTAATTGTTAAAAAAATGAAAATTTTACTATTAAATTTTGATAAATTGTTGAATCTGATGTATCAAAATAATTAATAAATCATAATTATTGTACTTAATTAGATAATAAATGTTAAACTAAATCTACATGTATTAATGATTGTGGAATTACTCAAAATATGAATATACATGGATGTAGTGGATTAACTCGATTAAATGAATCTGGAGAATATATTTAAATTTGTTCATTCATTAATTATATATGTATTCCATTAATTGATGATTCTATCGATGCTTTTTTAATTTTAACAAAGATATAATATTTATAGGCTAACTTAAAAGCTTGTACAAAAGTATAACTAATAGATAATATTGTAAATTATAGATTATGTTTCAAATAATCAATTGATCATTGATAAGAAATGTATATAGATTAATGATAATAATTAATCATGTAATACTATCAATAATCATTTCATAAACAATTTATATATCTAAATCATTGTTCTAGGGCAAATGATATAAGTTACTATGATTAATCAATAGGATGTAAAATACCTATTGATGATTTAGAATGTGGTACTCCAGTATTATATTATTAGGATGTATTAAAAATACTTAAAATCTTAGATGCGCATTTTATAATATAAAATGTTAATACTTACCATAAAATTAATTTATTTCATATTTTAAGTATCTAAATTAATTTACATGTTCTAATTATTAATATTTATAATGTAATTGGAATGGTACGATGTGTGATATATTTTATGATTATATTATGGAATATGGTAGTGATTATACATATATATTAGATGAGTATAATCAATTTTTAGTTTCAGATGGTTCTACTTGTATTTATGAAGAAGAATAAATAAACTTTTAATTATATAATTGTAATAGTAAATTAAATTAATTGCATGTATATCAATACCAGATTAATATTGTTAATTTATTCAAAATTAATGTTCATTTTATTAAACTACATTATATAAAAATTCAATCATGTAATTTAAATAATTCTATTTAATTTTAAATGTGTATTAAAAGATGGAAAATGTTTTCCTTTTTCATAGATTTATTTAACTTTTGATTACTTTGAAAAAAACAAATCATGAGTTTTAATATCCTATTTCTATATATGCAGATCAACAATGTTAATAAATTCATTAAACTTAAGAATATTGTTATTGTTATTATTTATCCCAAAATGATTGTATTATCAAAAATAAATAAGTTTAATATTTTTGGGATTATGATGAATGGATAGATTTTGAAGTTACAACTTATCCATCACTTAATGGATATCATACATTTAATGCATGTACATAATTTCAAAATTGTATAAATGGATATACTAACATTGGTTTTTGATTTTGTTATTCTGATACAAATTTTGATTCATTAACAAGTGAATAATTAATTGATAGTTTATATCTTTAAGATTTAGCTTCATAAATTAAAAATACTTGTTATTTTAATGCAGTTGTACCTAAATAAATAAATAAGTTTGGATGTATTAATTAATCAGGAACTTGAAAATTCTCATATTTACCTTGTTCTAAATTAAAAAATGAAATATAATCAATTTGTCCAAAGTTATCAAAGGAGTCTTGTTTAACTGATCTCACAAAAGAAATAAGTTGTAAATGGAAAAATCATAATTGTATAAATTTACTTGAAAATGAAAATAAATAACTATCCTCATGTTAAGATTTAAATCAAAAAGCTTGTCAAATTGTTAGTTTATCAAATATTTAGTGTATTTGGAATCAAAAAATTAAAAGTTGTGATTTGATGATTGCTATAACAAAAATGAATGTAGTAGTATTAAAAATTTAGATCACTTAATTTCTATAAGTGTTTGCTCAAGTGAAAAAACTAAAAGTTGTGTAAGACATAATGATAAAACTAAATTTACAGAAATTAATCAGAAATTGGAGAGTTATAATCTATATGAATTAAATTAATAAGCATTTATATAAAAAAATAATCATACCTTGTCCTTGGGTTTAAATTAATGATGGAGGACATTGTAATAATACTAATTTCTTTATAGGTTTATGTTAACATTTATTAAATTTATCAGCTTGCATTAAAATTGAAACATAAGGTAAAATTTTTAAAAGGGAAATATCAACTTAAAAATTTATTGATTACATTTTTACAAATTGTGAATCAGCAAATAATGGACTTACATAAATGTCTTGTAAAAGTATAACTGAAGAACCATGTTTTTAAGATAATTTATAAATGTCATGTAATCAAGTCTAATTTATACCAACTAATTGTTCTAACCATTATAATTATTAGGCTTGTATGATATCTACAGATTTCTGTATATGGGATTCAAAAAGAAGCATAATAAATCAAAATGAATATTGCCTAAAATTTAATACTAAAATTAAAAAGCCTTGAAAGTAATTCATAAAATTGTTAATGGCTTGATAATTAATGTATAAATTTTGATCCTCTTTTTATTAAATTTTATTGTTATCAATTACCTATGAATATCAAAAATTATGCTTGTAAAACTAATTCACTTCAATCATGTATTAATGATTCTAAATTGAAATAATGTTTTGCAAGTAAAGATAAAATGAAATCAAAATATGACTGGTTATCAAAAGATATTTTTAGACTCTAAAAACCTAGTCATTAATCATCTATCTTATTTGGTACATGTGAATAATTTAAAATATATATTATTTTCTAAAATCAAGAATTCTAAATAAATCGTGTATTTGGAATAATTCTTTTTAAGAAGGAATAGGTTTTAAGAATATAGCTTGTTAAGATTCTCTCAAAATTTTTGGGATGTTTGAATGTATCAAATAAGAATTAATATTGTATCTGAAAAGATTAAAATATTTTATAGTGGGATTCTACATTAGGTGTAATGGAAAATGTTAATAGAAATGCTTATATATAATATAGTGTAAATTGTATTTATGAATTTAATTCTTGTATTGTAAATATGTAATAAATACAGCAGGCAGTTATGATAAAATTACTTATTAATTAAAGAGTTTTCAATAAAATGGTAATTGTATTTAAAACTGAAGGATTAAATTTATTTAGTTGTGTATAATTCTAATAAGAACGAGGTATTTTTAAACATAATAAATGTTTTGTATTTACAGAATCATCATCAATTCGTATGTTTATT